AGGGTGCGGGAGGCTACGAATTCGGGTGGGTCGAGGGGCGCGCCTTTGCGGCCGGTGCCGGTGCAGATGAGGACTTGGTCGGCGATGCCGCGGTGTGTGGCAGGTATGGCGGCGAACAGGGGGGCGCTTAGAGCGCTGGTGATGCCGGGTAGCACGCTGGGTATGAAGCCGTGCGCGCGGAAGAAGTCGTATTCTTCGCCGCCACGGCCGTAGATGTATGGGTCGCCTTGCTTTATCCGCACGACTACTTTGCCCGCCTTCAAGCCTTCCAGACCTAGCTCCAAGAGCTCTTCCTGCGCTTTGTCGGCATTTCCTGGAAACTTTCGTGCGATGTGGACGGTTGCGCGGCGGGGTACGAGGTCGAGGATGGGTGCGGGAACGAGCTTGTCGGCGAGGATGAGGTCGGCGGAGAGAATGGCTTTGTGTGCTGCGCGAGTAAGGAGGTCGGGGTTGCCAGGGCCGGAGCCTGCCAGTATGATACGACCTGGTCGTCGTGCCGCTGTGGTGGCGGTGGGTCCGACCTTGGAGGGGCTGCTGCTGGCGAACTCGCGGAACAGCATGTCGACATCTGCATCTGTGATACCGGCGAGACGACGTAGAGGCCAGTACTCGCATATCTGTGAGAGCCAGCGCATGCGACGTCCCCGTGCAGCTTCCTTGCTCTCCTCCATGATCAGCTTATTGAAGGTCGCTGGCTGCCCGCTGTCTTCTTCTTCTGCCTCTAGATCTTGCGACAATTCTGCCGCATGATCTTCTTCCCATATGCGTCGCCGCAGTGTGCCTAACCTCTCCACTGCCTCACCCAGCCGCGGTGGAAGTGACGCCGCAATCTCTCTCTTTATTCTTGCAGAGAGCTTGCATCCCTTTCCAGATGTTGTAATACCGATCTGTAGAGGGCCGTCGGAGTGTGTAGAGAGGAGGGTGAATGAGCAGAGGTTCGGCGCATCGGCGACGTTGACTGGTATACGTAGTCTCCGGCAAAGACTCGAGATGTGGGTTGCTGTGGCGAATTAGAGTGGTTTCGAGCCATACTCTCATGTCACGTACCTGATGTGTGTTTTCCGCCCGCAGTAACAAATACAGCGTCTACTACGCTGTCCACCTCCTCCCGTCCCAGCGTAGTCAAGTCGTCGTCTTTGAAACTCCGCTTTAGCCACTTTACTTCGCCCGCCTCAATTCTCTTAACAAGTCCATAGTGAAGTGTGGAGTCTTCAGGCGCGAGCAGTATCGGTTTCGCGCCAACCTCTATTGATCGTGCGCATCGTGCGCCTGCTAGTGGATTGGACCCGACTATAAGGTGGATGTGGGATGTGGCGTCTACCGCGGTAAGAAGTGCTGGCGCCATGATGAAGTATGCAGAGGATAAATCTGAACAACTTGGAATTCCACGAAGGAGGGGCAGTAATATGAGCAGAGGCAATCGTCGATGCGGTTACTCTTCGGCGGTGTTGATAATGCGCGTGGCACATTATTTGTTCCGATAGCGACGAGCCGATATGGCGCGATCGCACTAGGGCATTCCCGCGGAAAAAGGCGAAATATGAGTGGTTGTTCCGCCCAATGGTCGATGGTGCAATTGACTGCTGTCAGACTTGCGCGGAGTTAGTCCATCTGCTCGTCTCGACCCATGACTATGTTGAGCGCTTTTCGGCTCAACATCACACTGTGTCCTAAGGCGTTGAGCTTTGCCGACGCGGATATCAGAGCGGGGTCTTGGCTCTCCACTCGGATTTTCTCTTTCACGCGCACGTCGTGGTCCTTGTACTTGAATGTGCGGTCGGCCTCATCGTGCGCAGGTGCTCGTGCCCCGCCAAGTGCTGATGCAAAGGTGTTGCGGATGCTGAAGCCAGTGAGCGATGTGCTGTCACCGGCGTTGTGTGGCTCGAGAGTGCGGATTTCGAGGACGAGGGCGGCATCGAAGAGGAACAGGTGGAAAGACACATTCGCTGGCAGTGGAGGGTCGAATGTCTGTGATTGTCAGCAGTGCCCGTGTTGGATGCTCAGGTGCAGCCTACCTTGTCGTCGACGGGGTTCTCCCACCACGACGGCTGGACATCCGAGTAGCCCTTCAATGCAGCCTGCGCTTCCAGTATGTGATCGTGCAGCAGCTGCAGTTGCCCGGATACGAAGTTGGCATTGGTCGCATCGCCGCCCCAGGTAGCCACGTCGATGACGTCGAGGCAGCTGTTGATGGAGGTTCGAATGGAGGTGAGCTGGGGCACAACGAGCGTCGGCGCATGCGGTGCAGAGGAAATGGCGAGGTCGTACGTCAGCGAGCCTTTGGGCGGTGGGAGGCTTGCGAGGCGGAGCTTGACGTTCTGCACGGTGTGAGCTGCTGCATGGGGACGGAGAGTGAAGGACATACGCCTTTGGTGATGCGCGTGCCAACGCGAGTAATGAGGCCCTTGAGACTCTCGGAGCGCACCGAAGTCAGCACAAGTGTCGAGCCATTCTCCGAGGGCGCAAGCAGGGCAGCGCACTCTTCCAGGCCTGCCTTGAGCGACTGCAGCGTCTCGCGGAGTTGCACCAGCAGCCACTCGAGCTCGCGCGCTTGTGACTCTGCCTGCTCGTGGGAGAGGCGGGCGTCATCGATGGGCGGCCACACAGCAGTCGACATGGCGGTGATGGCTTCCAAGTTGCCCGAGGCTTAGTCTTATCTAGAGTATGGTGGTTACATAGGTGGATGCTTATTAGTAAGGATACATCTTAGCAAACCTTGTCTCTAGACACCTAGCTATATTCGCCTATCCTTAAAAAGACTTAATTACTGCACACTCTTAACTTCTTTATTCTACTAGATACTACTTAACACTACTTTAAACACGCTACTATAAGCTACATACGTACTATGCTATTTAAAGCAATTGCTAAAATCTAAAACTAGATAATTACTAAGTATCCTAAGAATACTGCCTATAATGCTCTGTCCTCTATAGTTCTTTAAAAGGTTAAATTTTAGGTAGGTTACTTTATATCTCTATCTACTCTTACTAATAAACTAGGGTAAATACTGTAATAACTATAAGAACTACAATACTGCTACTAACGCTTATAACTATAAGAGTACTAAGCCTATTTATAAATATAATAACTGCTAGCGTAAGTTTAACTGTACCTACGCTATCTTTGCTATGCACACCTGCTATGCAAAAGGCAATATTATTAAGGGAGATAGCTAGCAGGAGTTAGCTATAATGCAAGACTAGGAAGAGCAACATATTAAGGTAGCTAAAAAGCTTAGCTAGGACTTATTTAGGAGAAATTAGTTAGCATTATTACCTAGTAAATAGAAGAATTAAGAGGCTGAGGGCCCTGCAACTCTTTGCTAGCAGTTCTAAGGCACGATGCGGCAGATTGTTGGTGTCGGGCTGCCCGAGCTCCTCGATGGCCAGCATCCACTGCTCACGCTGCGGATCTCGCTACTATCCGAGGAAGGAAGCCATCCCTGCATCTCTCCGCCCATCTCTACACGTGCCGAACACATCACGCACTTGCACACACATTAAAGCCCTCCGTCACGATCCGTCGCATCCGCCAGCGTGTTTGCAGACAAGCCGCGGACCCTCTGGCTGCTTGGGCGTGTCGAGCAGCCTCGGGATGATGCAAAGCGCGCGCGATAGTGCCGTAACCCTGTGCGATGAGGGAGCTAGCCGACGACGCCAACAAAGAGCCGATTCACAGGTGCACTACGTCACCCGCTTGGCCGCACCTCATAAACAAGCTTGCCAGGCCTCTTTTCGTCGCGCGTTTGAGACGCAGCTAGCCACGTCGAACCATCCTCTGTAATCGCACCATTACCGTGCATCCTAATCTTAATAACCTACACCCTTGCGACGACGACTCTTTTGGGTACCACACACCATGGCTGTAGCTAGTACGTTGCCCGTCGCTTCCTAATTCGGTTGCGCATCTGCTAACACACCTTCCAGGACCTCTTCTCGCATTCGGCTCGCTGATCCTGGTCGCTGGAGGCCTGCTCTTCCAATTCCTGACCATCCTCACTGGCGGCGTCAACAAGGCGCCTCTCACCAAGTTCTACTTCCTCGAAGCCACCACCGGCGGCATCCCCAACGCACGAAACCCATCGCGATGGACCTTCTTCGCCATCTGCGGCGCCGACCCCGACTCCGGCAACAATGCCAACTGCGGCTCGCCTGTCCCCGCGCTGCCATTCGACCCTCCTAGGAACTTTGGCACCCAGGAAAACATCCCCGAGCAGTTCATCGGTACTCACATGTACTACTACCTGTCTCGCTTCATGTTTGCTTTCTACCTGATTGCTCTCTTCTTCGCTGCCATTGCCCTCATCTCCGGTCTTCTTGCGCTCTGCAGCCGTCTTGGAGGATACCTCTCTTCCTTGATGACCTTTGTCGCTCTCTTTTTCCAGACGCTCGCCGCAGCTCTCATGACGTAAGTCCACTTATATCTCCAACCTTTAGCGCATCAACTAACAAACATCAGCGCATGGGTAGTCAAGGGCCGCGATGCCTTCCGTTCCGCCGGCTTCGAAGCTAGCATTGGCAAATACCTCATGGGTTTCACCTGGGCCGCCGTCGCCTGCTACTTCCTCGCCACCGTCATGTTCTGCCTCGGAGGCCGTCTCGGCGGCGACCGCTCTTCCAGCATGCGCCGGAGCCGCTCTACCAAGTCGAACCGCAGCCGGGGTAGCTTCTTGGACACCGAGTCCCAGCGCAAGCCCAGGGACTACTCTCCATAAACTAACATTGAACGAGGAAGACGTGGCCCAAGTGGATGAGGTCCAACAAGGCCCATATGGAGGAAAACTGATCTTTTACGCGACGATATCCACGATTTGATTTTGTAATGAACGAACATAATACCTTGCTACAGCGCGCGAGTTAATGCTAGTATTGTACATATGCACATATAGCAAATATACTTCAACCAAAACTATATTCCAAACGAACATCCTATGGAGTTGATCGATACAAACACAAGTACTAGGACAATACGCTTACAAAAGTCGCACCTATCCAAGCTCATTCCTCCGCATACCAAGTCTCAAACATGCCTCCAGTGCCTCCCAAATCCAACACGTCCCCACGCCCCCCTCCCCCTCCCCTCTTTTCAACCACAGTCCACAGATCAAACGGCACCAACTCATCCTCACTATCCACCATATCCTCATCCTCATCGTCCTCATCCCCGCCACTAACACCCACATACGCCGTAACCCCCCTACAACTAGCCACACACTCATCCATCAGATTCCAGTCACCGTCCGGAACCGCGAGTTCCAACTGGGGGTCGCCGAGCCCCTCGTAGCGCATGATCGGCGGCGCGCCATTGGATAGCGTGTATGTAGTTTCGCGGCCCGTGAAGCGCGAGGTATATGTGTGGGGCTCGCCGCGCTTGGAAGGCAGGACGACGGTGTGTGCTTCGTAGTCTGCGAGGGCGGCGTTGTATTGAGGGGGTGTGAGCTTTTGTTTTGCGTAGAAGGAATTGGCGAGGAGGCGGGAGCGCGCGGTGTGGCCTTCTATTAGGGCGATGGCGGGGTGGGGGATGTAGCGTGTTGTTGTTTTCTCATGTTCCCCATTCCTACCTCCATCTCCATCTCCATCTCCGTTTGCATTATCTTGTGAAGTTGGAGTCGAAGCAGCAGCAGACCACGGCGCCGCAACACCCATTCCTCCGTCCCCCAGAAACTGATTCCAAGGCTTTACTCCACTAACCCAAGGACCGGTGTCGTACTCCCCCACGGGACACATAGCCTCACCTCTTGGATCATAGATGACCTGGTCCCATGAATCCGCCTCTGTCCTCCGGCCCCAGATCGTGACTTCGAACAAAGTGATGGTGTCGCGGACTGCTTTCTCAAAGTCTCGGGCGCGCGCCACGCCGATGAGTGCGGCGCTGTGTTCGATGGTTTCATCGAGGACGGTTTCGTAGGGCAGGATGTGCGCGGTTTCTTGCCAAATGTCGAGTAGGTAAAACCAGATTGATTGCATGAGGGGCGTGTCGATGGGGTGGAAGTCGGCGAAGTAGTCGAGGAGGGTGGCGGCGCAGGTCCAGTATTTTGCGGTGAAGGCGGATTCGCAGGGATCGCAGGGCCAGAGGTATTGGGGACGGTGCGGACATGGTGGGTGGGTGAGGAGGGATTTGATTCGTCTGTAGGCGATGGAGAAGTCGATGTCGTTGCGGCCGAATGTGTAGCGTGTGGCTGTTGGGGGTGTTGTGGAGTGGTCTGTCACTAGGATGATGGGTGGCGGCGGCATTGCGATGGGCTTTAACGAGCGAGAAGCCATCGCGTCGGCAACTAGACCTATGTGAGCTGACTAAAGTTAGTAGCAAAAGTGTTGTTTGTGGAGGGTGAGTAGCAATCGAGGTTGATAGAGTAGTGCCAAGACTGCCGCCTTGCATAACATTATTGTTGGGAGGCTTACGATGAGAGTCGAAATAGAAGTGAAAGAGATCCATCGCGTCCGAAGAACCGTACCCAGTCGCTCCCGTCACGCCTACCACTTCGACATGCGACTAAGTGTACTCATCCTCCCATGCTGCATGTTGCTCAACAGCGCTTCCTCTAGGGCCGACTGACTGATACCTGCATCTGTCCGATGTGAGTATATCAATCTAAAGGTGGGTAATCCCATGACTCACCATCGATGTCGCTGAAGCTGCTGCCCATACTCGGCGTGCCCTCGCTACCTTCTTTTCTGGATCGCAGTCCTCCACGTCGTGGACTACCGAGTCGGCCTAGCGCCGCGCGGTGGTCCGAGGCAGGGCTCATAGGGCTCTTTGCGGCTGAAGGAGGTCCACCAGAGCTAGTCATCGACGACGCCGTCTCAGTGGTCGCGATCGACTGTACGTCCATAGACGTTTGTCTGACAGGCGGAGCATTCCTTGCGCGGGCAGGCTGCAGAACCTTTTGCCCCTTGCTACTACTAGCTCGGAAGCGTGAGTCTTGCGCGTACTTGCTATTGCTGGGTCGGGTCTTGACTGTTGCAAAGGGTAGACTTGTCTCGTGTGAGCCTGAATCGTCAATCTCTTGCGTTCCGTCTCCTTCCTCAAACGTGGAAAGCTCTCGCGGTTTCTTCTGCTGGAAACGCGGCGGGCGCTTGAAGAGTTGGCTTCGATGCGCTGGATGATCAGTATCCGACAACGATGATGAGCTCGAGGACGAAGAATCGGGAATGTCTGGAGAAGCTGCTTCGTGATTTCGATAACTTGGTGGTGAGATTGGCGCATTCGCTCGGTCATCAGACCTTCTACTTGTCAAGTTAGGTCGCTGGGTGGATCGTGTAGACAATGTTCGAGCTGGGGCCTGAGTAAGTGCCCGGGATTGAGTGATCGTGGTGGTAGACGGCGTCCTCGAGAGCGAAGGTGCTAAGATGTGTTAGAAAACATGTCTACTGCGGCATCTGAAATGCTTGTCGAGAGACTCACCGGGTATAATCACCTCTGCGCCACGCAGACTCGGACTGTCCTTCGAGCGTCCTGCTAAGGCGGATGTAGTCCTCCCAGCTATATTTTGTCAGCAAGATTAAATGATGCTGATGTTTTACGTACCTCCAGATCCGGCACTGCCACCCCTTCGCATCGCAACCCCACCCACAGCAGTCAGCGTGCTACCACCAGTCGGCGAAGATGACGGAGCAGCATTCGAGATGCTGACTTTCTTCATTTGGTTACGAACATGATCTAGATGTCGCTCGTATAGCCATGCAGCTTGCTGAAGAAGGAAGGTTGGTGGAACTTGGAACTTGTCGGCTCTGTGACATGGTCAGTGAGGCTGATGCAGTGCGTAGCGCTACGTGCATTCACATACAACTCGACCCCTACAATACATTAGTACTCCTTTGAGATAATAGTCAGACTGTGTCCTGGATACTTACAGTTCAAATCACTGGTCTTGGAAGACTTAGAAACAACCTTCCATAATTGGCGGTCTCTCTCAGCATCCCATTGTGCCTAGGTCGCGGTCAGATGAGCACCGGGAACGCGGACAGATGCTAATTTACCTGCGGAGGATCTTCAAAGTCACCCCGGATGAACGGGAGACGTATCAGAGCTGTGAACTGAACTGACGACATTAGAGATGATCTGGTTTAGCTGCAAGGACGTAGAGTGATGAAGGGGTGGTTGGGTGAGGTGTAGTGATGCGGCTAGGTGATCGAATGAAGTAAGGCGTGAATCGATCTACGCCCGGGCTTGTGACCGATTAGGCCGGAGCAGCAATCACGTAACAATGGAAAGAGACGGCTACTCCAAACGAACTTGAATTCGTTTACATGCGTTTCCGATGATCATAGCTCAGTATTACAGTACTAATCGTGAATCATTAAGCCTCCTGTACCTAGGTATCAAGGCAACCATCGCAGCCTAGATCAAGCACCGCCACACCTTCCTCGAGAAAGCCACAGCGGCCCCGCTGAAGCACAAAATACTCGACGCGGGATCGTGCATGAATCCCCACCAAACACAGTCACTCCCCGAACTCAACACCAAGAAATCAACTCACTGTCAAAATGTCTGCTCAAGCAGTCACCACCATCGACATCCAAGGCAAACTGCCCAAGATTGCCTCTGGAAAAGTGCGCGATCTCTACGCGATTGACGATGACACACTACTATTCGTTGCGAGCGACCGTATATCAGCGTATGACGTGATCATGGAAAATGTAAGTTCAATCTCACCAAACCTCAATAGTAATTTAAATATATCCAAGACCTGAGACTAACAAACCCCCAGGGTATCCCCGGAAAAGGCGCCCTCCTAACCGCCATGTCAATATACTGGTTCAATTACCTACCCACCAAAGTCCCCGGCCTAAAAACCCATTTCCTCTCCTCAGATCTCCCTTCCACAATCCAGGACCAAACTTCCCTCAAGGATCGCAGCATGCAAGTCCGACGTCTGCGCATCCTCCCCATTGAGTCCATAGTCCGCGGTTACATCACCGGATCAGGCTGGTCCGAATATACCAAATCGGGAACCGTCAACGGAATCAAACTCCCCACCGGACTCGTCGAAGGCCAGAAGCTACCGGAACCACTTTGGACACCGAGCACCAAGGCGGAAGTGGGCGGCAAGGACGAGAACATTAGCCCAGAGAAAGCGCGAGACATGATTGGTGATGCAAAGATTGCGCAGCGCGTTGAGGAATTGTCGCTTGCTATCTACAGTGCTGCTGCCGATCGTGCAGAGGAGGTCGGTATTATTCTAGCGGACACGAAGTTTGAGTTTGGGGTTGATGAGATGGGCGAGGTGGTGCTTGTTGATGAGGTGTTGACGCCGGATAGCTCGCGCTTCTGGCCTAAGGAGTCGTGGGAGAAGAACCTGGGCAAGGCGCAGCCGAGTTATGACAAGCAGTTTTTGAGGGATTGGCTCACGGGTGAGGGGTTGAAGGGCAAGGAGGGTGTTGAGGTGCCGAAGGACATTGTGGAGAAGACGGCGGCGAAGTATAGGGAGGCTTGTGAGAAGCTTACAGGGAAGAGTGCTTGAGAGGTGGTTGTAATTGCAGTTAAACTCGCATCAGGGTTGTCGAGATGTCAACAGATGGCATGTTGATGTCACGTCTGTGCCACCGATATATATCATAGCAGCAATGGAAGGTAGTTGAAGACCAGAACTCGTGAGCTATGATAAGTTGGATACCCGACGAAGCCTTGCATGTATATTTACTAGTCTCTCCGACCCTGTACAAGCCCCTCCCTTTCTTCCTCATCCTCATCATCAATATGCTTCCCCGGGTGCCGATACAGCACGTAATGCTGCAGCATGAAGATAATATCAAACACAATAGTGATGTTGCCCAGTCCAAACTTGACTGGATTACCAGTAACACCACTCCAATCATTCTCCAGCGCAGAATCAATGCACAACTGTGCGAGCGAAAGCCAGCCACCCGCAAAGTCTAGGAGCATAGGGTATATACTCCACCCCAGTGTCGACTTGCGCTTATAATTGACCCAGGCCTGGGGTATGTATTTGAGGAAGACGGTGAGGAGTTTGACGTAGCCGAGCGTGTAGATCTGCTTCGTATTAGTACAACCGCGTGAGGTTTGAAGAGGTAGACCCAAGATAACTCACAACATCAATCCACGCCCACCCCTCGGCATCGTATCCCCGTCCAGCCCCATTCATCTTGACCAACACCACCACAACCCCAATAGCAAGCACACATCCCCACCATACCCCCAGTATAACCCGACTAACCTTTTGCCTCTTACCAATCTCAAAGCCCCAAATCTTCTCAAAGAACTGACTATATATAATCACGCACATGACTGCTCCATGTGCCGCGAACAAGAAGTCGTTGAACCGCACCGTCGTCTCCGGCGCGTCAGGATGACGTGCCGCATATTGCGCTTTTATCGTCGGCGAGTAGAGGAAGCAGGCGGTGGAGATGGTGTAGCAGGTGAAGCCGAGGACGTTGAGGGTGGGGAAGTCGATGGCGAGGCCGAGCGTAGATTTGCGGAGGTAGTTCGATATGGGTTGCGGGTAGAAGGATAGGGACCTGTGTTGTGGGGTTGGTTAGTTGGGGCTGACAGGAGGAGGGATGGTAGGTGGGTGGTACTGACCACGACAGGAAGTAGGCCCAGCCCAGGACGCGCGATATGGCTCGCGCAAAGGCTTCAAGCTCGGGGGTCATCGTCATGCTGCTGGAAGGCGAGGGCTGCACATATGCGATAAGTATTGTCTGGCTTGCGCGCTCACTGTGGAACGATGGACGAAGCGGAGTTGGAGCAAGTGGAAGACAAAAGAACGTGTGCTATCATAGACAACCAGAAAACAGAGACATGTTGCTAAGACAAGTACTCATGGTGAGCGCCTGATGCTGCGGCGTGTACTGTACATGTGCGATTGCGACAGAGGAGATGCGCGCATGCCCGCGGAACGGATGACAGGGGTCGGAATGCCTGCTTGCAACGCCGAAGTGCTCATTCGCCGTCGGGTTCATCTCAACCATGCCGACTGTGCATCGTGCCGGCTCTCAATTCAGCCGTATCATCGGAATTGCATACATGCTGTATTACAAAGAGTTCGGCATTGTTAGAGACGAGGTGATGTAGTTTCCTACTTTACAGCCTTAGCAACCCTCAAGGTATAACTTCAGTCCCTCTGCCTGTGCCTCGAAAGATTCCTGCAAGCTCTCTCCAAGCGTATCCTTCAAGACTCCAGCAAACAACCCATTAAACACTTCTATCGACTCATACAACATTGTGCCATTGCCTATGTCGCTGAGCGCCTGCCAGCGCGTCGAGGCAACAGCGAGTTCCCCCAAGTAATCCCATGCCAATCTTCCCAACTCGGGCTGCACATGAGTTATGCGCTCAGCGGACAACTGCGTGTTCAGGAGATTGTCGGGCGTGTCCTTGTTCACCGGCAGCGGAAGCGGAGGAATCTGCACTCGGAAGAAGAGGAAGTTGCCCTCAACCGGTCGCTGATCAGGCAGGGTGATGTTGCCCTTGGCTGAAGTAGTGAGGGCATAACGCACAAACGGGTTCCAGGCTGCGTAGTTGGCGAAGTCGGTGAGTACGTCCCAGGCGGCGGGGACGGTGCTCTTGATTTCTATGCGTGCGGTCGCGTTGAAGACGCCGGGTGCGACGGCTGGGAGGTTTGTGTATTCGGACTGGGCAAGAGCCGCAGGGAGGAGCGTCAAGGAGACGAGGTTGAGGAACTTGGACGCGAACATATTGGATGGATGGGTTTAGGGTTTTCAGCCTGGGAGTTGCATACTTTTGTACCGGAGCCTACCCGAGGTTTATTGCTACATTAGCCACATCGCTTAGGAGGTGATGCGAGTGTCTCCTGGGATAAATGTCGCCGGCTCCAAAAATGGTAATCTTCATAAGCTTCGGGACAAATCTCCCCTGGGCGGATTACTGGGCATGTAAACCAATAAGTTTAATGCCTGTCATTGTGGATGGGACAGAATCCGACGGAGTCGGACGGAGTCGAACGGACGCTGCCTATGTACTTGACGCCCGGGCCTTGCACATCGCAGAGACTAAGCTCACCGCTGGGTACTGGCTATCATTGCAGCTGCAATGAGGTTGGAGATATAACCTTGGAAGCACGTGCAAGGCGCGGGACAAGTCGCGGCATGTGGGCCATGATATGCATGCGGAGGACGTCACTCCAGTCCCTCGGAATGCATCGCGGAACGCCGCATGTGGCTGCCCAACAACCTGCTCAGGCATCTACCGTGCTCGCTGCAGTCACTTGACATCACTAGCAGCGCGCAATCTGCGAATGACTAGAGTCGGCCAAAGAGGGGCTAGATAGCAGCGCAAAGGGCGGTGCCGGCGGCCGTGATGTGGTGGGCGAATGGAAGGCTGAGGGCGCGACATGCACCTGCATAAGCTATGAGCTGCCCCTCAGCACCGCGACCTGGCCAGCGACACAACTAACTGCACTTACGACGCCCTGCATACATATCTCAACACTTGGGAGCTTAGATAGAGCTCCATCTTGACTCACCTCTGCGCGCCCATCCAGACTTCTCTGCATAACGCGCTGAGGGGCCCCATATCTAGCGTGCCGCGTGAAGCTCCAGCCCCGCGGCTCAAACAACAGCCACAACGACCCTCCCGACGATACCGAGTGACTACCAGAGATAGGCCCCGATAACGCGCCGAGTCAGGAACAAGGCACCAGTGTTGTTGTGTATAAGTGTCTTGCTGTGCAAGCACGCGCCCGCCACCTCCACGAGTCCTGGTCACGGAGGCGCATGACGCAACGCCCGTCTAGCATTCATCCCAAGTCACCCGCCGCCGTCCTCATCCGTCGCTACCCCCACAACCTCTCTCGCGCCCACGACACCTACCACTTCCTCACGACTGAGCTAGCGCTCCAACAGACCCTTCCACACGCTCCTCCGCAGGTTATATGAGCTCATCGCCCGACAACGCCGCCGAGCATACGACGCCCGTCTCCAACCTCACCTACTTGCACAAGCAGCAGCGCAAGGGCACCAAGGTACAGGACACACCACAAGCACGCGGCCGCAACACGTCGAGAAATGAGTTGGGAAGAAGAAATAAAGCGGCCGGCAAGGTTACGCGCATATACCCGAGAGAGATGTACGTGAAGCAGCACCACCCTTCCCTACATGGAAGGGGCGATGGTGACTCTTGTTCGTATTCAAACGCGACTGACTGTCACAGAACCAAGTCACCTTCGTCAGCCAAACGTCTGTCATCCACGTCTCCACCCACAAACTACCATGCCACTACGTCTCCATTACTATCGGCGATCGGTGCCACTCGAAACACGGCCGCACAATACACCAACGAGTGGGCCAAGTCAGTTCCCTTCTTTCCAAACTCCGGCTCCCCGGGTAATGGGGGCATCGCTATAGCCAGCTCTCCGCCTACCTTTCATAACTCGCCTGGTGCACGAGACGGGCTGTACGCACCACAGGCCATGTCAAACTCACCTCCAGGTGCACGACCCCTGAGCCACCCCAACCAATACACCAACTTTGGTGGACGCGTACAGAACTCGCCTGGAAGAGACCGTAGAGCATCTGTGTACTCTCAACAAGGCGTTCGCCCGCCCTCACAGCAGTTCATGCCGAACCCGCCTCTGCCGCATCAACCTCAAGCACACTACTATGGCTTGCCAAACATCGACTTCGGCCTCAACAACGGCCAGTCCGATGGCATCCAGCCAGGGGAAGGAGGCTACTTCTGTGGCTTCGATACTCTGTCCATGGCAGGAGACGAGGCAGCTCGAACTACAGAGAACGTGCTGCTTGTTGGGTCGCAAGGTGGGCTCGATGTCTTCCGGGTTGAAAAGAGCAAGATGGACATTGTAGGTCGACTAGAAGGACTTCGGGGCGCTGTAATAGGCGCCAAGATCTTGCCTTGGATCTCGCGGCACGATCCCTTAGCTGCTTCCCGTCCACTGATCGCGCTTATCCTCCACGGTCCGGTCGTGAAAGACAGCAGAAGCTCTAGTGGAAGCGGTGCATCCTCTGTGGCTGACGATTCGGCGTCTGAGTCACCTAGTAGGCCGTCCTCACGACATGGAAATCAAGAGGGGCAAATCAGTGGTTACCAAACTACGGTCGAAGTTTACTCACTGAAGGAGAGGCGGAGAATGGCTGTCCTGTATCGCACTCCCCTGATACCTCTCACGAGCCCAATCGATAGCCCCATGTTTCAGCCTCCACCTCCAGTAGGCGACTTCGTCATTGATGCGAGGGGGAAGTTTGTTGTTGTGGCGTCTGGTGCAAGTGGAGAAGTCTTCGTATTCGCGCCTTACCACGAAGGTCACTCTGAGTATGCAGAGCGATTCCGCTGCATCGGTAAACTGTGGACATCCGTTCAGAATCGGGAACGGGCCATACATTCAGGCGGTTCCAGTGCCGTTGACGGCAGCCATGACGAGATTCCTCCTGAGAAGTATGGCTTGCCTGTGTTTTCGCTCTCCGATCGTTGGCTCGCCGTCACCCCACCAGCGTCAAGCGCGCTCTACCCTGTCAACGGTATAGCCCTGACTTCACCTTACTACGAGCGCGCTCCGGGCCTTGGGCACCACAGCGTACCGCCTCAGCCATCTCCCAACTGCGCTGTCGATGTGCCCAACGAAGCAGGCTTGATCGATAGACTTACCAGGGAGGGAACACAAGTTGCAATCAAGGGTGCACGTTGGGCCACTGAGAAGGGAATGCAGGCTTTCAAGAGCTACATGAACAAGGGCCAGCAAGGAGCTAACGTGCCATATGGTCAAGATCCCATGCAGCATTACTTTCCACCGACCCATGGCCACAACCAGACTCAGCCAAGACAAGAGGCATCTGTGATCTCCGTCTATGATCTGCAGAGACTGGCAGACGCAGAGGAAACGAGGAATAAGAACGCACTTCATCCGGTCGCCACTATACCCGCGGCTCTCGGTTGCAGCTTCATGTCATTCGCCCCCAGCGGTCTTATGCTCATGACTGTGAGCAAGAAGGGCGACTATCAAGATGTTTGGGACCTGAAGCGCATGAACTTCCGAAGAGCACGTAAGACGTTAAGGGAACAGCCAACAGGACCTTACGTACGACAAGTCGCTCGCTTCACCAGAATGACTGTTGCGAACGTCATCGATGTTGTTTGGTCTGCCCCTCGAGTCGACAAACTGGCTGTCATCACGGACAAGGGAACAGTGCACATGTTCCCGATGCCTGCGTCGGCCTTCCAATGGCCACCAGCTCGGCGCATTCGTCCAGCTGCACCAGCCCCACCAAAGGATGTCGCGTCCCCCACAGGTCCCGCTGGTGTGATGAACTCAGCAATGCAAGCTGTCAATAGCGCTAGGCCTTGGTTTGATGCTGTTCGCGCTAAGAACAGCGTCGGCGGAACTCGATTCAGTCTCAGTGGCTTGGGTGTAACCCCTGCCGCTGGCGCAAAATCTGGCAAAGCCGTCGCTGCCAATGTAGGCAAGTCAATCAACAACATCCGGCATGCCGGCGACAACAAAATGACACTTCCGTCATCGCCTAGCGGTATCAAGCCTTACAGCGTACGCTGGCTTTCTGGTAGAGGTCGTGGTTCGATCGCACTAGCGTCCGGTGGTGTACTTCAGATCTGGAGGGTGCAGATGAGAGCTGCGACAGGCAAGGGGAAATCATCGCATACTGCATCCATAACCAAGAAGAAGACAGTGGAGTTCGGACTTGCTCCCATCTCGGATACCGCACTACCACCCTCCGTCACGGAGCAACTGTTCCCGCAACCTGGTGATCTCGAGCCAACACTTGACTGCTACGGTGACTGGCTTCCTCGCGCTTTGCCTTCTCGCAAGCCTACCGTGCCATCTCTCGCACCACTCAGCTTCTCCGAGATTGAGACGAACCCTCCTTACCAGCCCTTCTACACCGACAAACGTGTCACGCGTTTTGTCTACTCCAGACAAGCACCCGAGGTTCAAGAGAGTAGCAGCGAATACCAGCCCTCGTTACCGGCACTTATCTCCGATCTCCATCACGAAGATAGCTCGCCATGGCTCTTTGGTGAGACCGTAGAGGGAACACGTATCTCCACGCCAATCACTCAGGCGTATGACTCTGGAGAGGATGACATCACGGGCGTTGCCGCCAGGATCGAGAACAAGCTTGTTCTTCGAGACGGCGAAGAGGAGGTAGAGCAGGTTGTCGTCACCACACGACGTCGGCGCGTGAAGAAGGAGGGTATCGACGGCGACGAGGAGGGTTTCTTCGAGGACGATTGCGAGGTGTTGGATTTCGCAGAGGATAGGGTATGAGCGTGTACAGAGAGTCGCTTTGCTTGTCTGTCATTCAACATGTCCTTCCACACATCACCCTACGTTCGCTACCACATTTGCATCAGATCGGGCGTTGTCATCTTGGGTAAGGCGCAGCAATAGGCGCCGGCGTTTCTTCTTTTTGGGTCAGGAGGAATTCGCATCATTAGGATACCACGCAGCCGACAGCGGCCCTCGGCTTGCAACATCAATACACAACTTAGATAGCCAATAGATGGATCAGGAATATCAACCAAGCTTCATTTCTAAGGATGGATGAGGTTAAATGACATGCTTACAGTCTAACCTTGCTTCGTATATAGCCGTCTTTACTCCACGATCGTGTCTTTAACTCCGTTATCCCCGTCCGCCGACTATCTCCACCGTGCTGGATGGTCGGCAGCGGATGGTCGGGGGAAATACTAGGTTTTCGAAAGAGAATCGAGGGTGCTCATTGGGTCCATCCGCGTCTGATTTGCGTGGCTTTTGCACTACGTAGACGTGTTGTTACTGTCCGGTCAAGGGGAATGCATGCTCACGGTCCTGCAGCCGCGCACTACAGCAGAATGTGCAAGTGCTTTATTGCACTTTCGGTTGTTTAGCTGTAGGTAGCGTGTGGCGGTGGAGCTGGAGCATGAACCTACCGAAGAAGCTATGCGTAGTCTTAGAGTTTAGGGTTGTGTGTGGAAACAGAAGGCAGGAGTTAGAGGCCTGGACCAAAAGATATAAAGAGAAGGCTACAGCCGCCAACAAGACAGTATCAAGCTCACATCAGCACGAAGAGAAAAATCAGCTCTATATCAAACAGTCCGTAACTGAACGAAGAAACATCAACATGTCTTCTACCGACCAGACCATCGTTCTCATCACCGGCGGTACGCAAACACCTCCCTACTTCCTACTCCATACCTTCTTCCCACCTCTCCCCCTCTTCTGTTCACTCCATAAATTCCTCTTTCAAAGCTTTACTAACAAATCATCCCAGCAAACGGCGGCATCGGTTTCTCCCTCGCCACCCAACTCCTCGAAAACGCCAAATACCTGATCCTCCTCGGCAGTCGCTCCGCTGAGAAAGGCGCAGCCGCTGTGAAACAGCTCCAGGAGAAGAGTTTGCCTGGAAAGGTGGAGTTGGTGCAGATTGATGTGAGCGACGAGGATAGCATCCAGAAAGCGAAGGATGTGGTGGAGGAGAAGTATGGTCGGTTCGTCTACACCCATTCCATTCCCTTGTTCATCTCCATCTCCAATCCTACCCCGGTCCTCCCAAGCAGAATTCAACCCTCCCTCACCCACTAACCTCTCCACCAGCATCGACGCCCTCGTAAACAACGCCGCCATAACCGGCGAAGAACCCGCCTCCTCCTCTCTCGCCACGCGCATGACATCCGCCTTTCTAACAAACGCCACGGGCCCAGCCATCATCGTAGAAACGTTCGCTCCCCTCCTCGCGAAAAGCGCGGAGATGGGGAAGACGCCGCGGATTCTGAACGTGTCGAGTGGAGCTGGGAGTATTGGGCTCAGGAGCGATAGGACGAATCCGCATCAGGCTATGAAGAACGTATGGCCCCCGCTCTTTCAATCGGCTGTTTTGGTAAGATTGGTGTTGCAATTGGCGTGGAGTTGGGGTAACGGTGAGGCCTTTGCTGATATGAAACCAGTTGCCATATCGCAGTTCCAAAGCGGCACTGAACATGCTTACTGCGTGTCAGGACTATGAGTATGGACCCAAGGGGTGGAAGGTGTTTTGCTTCTGCCCGGGGTTCACGGAGAGTAACTTGGGGCCTAGGGTACGTTTTCTTACTCCCACTTTCACTTGTTGATGCGCGTGGGGTTCAAGGTTGTTTGCTGACATGTCAGATAGAACAAACCGGAGCATGGGGCCAAGCCTACGAGTGAGGGCGCGAAGCCCATGGTTGCTATCTTGGAAGGCGAGAGGGATGATGAGTGTGGGGGGTTCTTGAAGGCGGAGGGGGGTTGGCCTTGGTAGATGGGTGACCGTGGTCTCGGGATGGGCAATATGCACGTAGTTTGGGAGATGGTGAGTAGTGTGAGAAAGTGAAAGGGGTATCTGCATTTGTTCCTTCATATCTTCGTTCCACCACTTATCCTTACACACGTCGCCTTTTGCTTAAATCAATCCTGCTCATCTCATTGCCTTAAGAACATCTTATAGCTTGAGCTATCTGTGACCTCCTTGTACGGATATCCGATATCCTTCAAGAAACTGACCAACTTGCTACTATCCTCCTCTTTGCACTGTATGCCAGCCAGGATCTTTGCAACGTCGCCACCGTAGTTCCTGTAGTGGAAAAGACTGATGTTCATACCCGGTTGCAATGTGTTTAGGAACTTGTACAAGGCGCCTCCTCGTTCAGGGAATTCGAACATGTACATATGCTCGTCGGCGGCGTTGCTGCGCCCTCCGACTAGGTAGCGGATATGTGACTTTACGAGCTCGTCTTGAGAGAGGTCCTCGGCAGTCATGCCTTCAGCGGCGAGACGTTCGATGAGGTCGGGTAGATCGCGGGCCCTTGTCGCCGCCTTCAGTTCGACACCAACGAGGATCTGAGCTGACTCAGGGCCACAGTAGCGGTAGCTGAACTCTGTGACTGCCATAGGGTGGATGACGGAAACGAGCTTGGCAAATGAACCAGGTTGTTCGGGAATAGTGACGGAGAGGATGGCTTCTTTGTTCTCACCAATAGCGGCGCGCTCGGCGACGAAGCGAAGACGGTCGAAGTTCATGTTTGCGCCGCTGGCAATGGCGACCAGACCGCGGTTACGATCTGGTGATGGGTTGCGACTGACCCACTTCTTCAGACCCGCCAGGGCAAGCGCGCCTGCAGGCTCAACAATGGAGCGTGTATCTTCGAACATGTCTTTGATGGCTGCACATGTCTCGTCTGTTGTGACTTGGACCACCTCATCGACGACCTCTTGACATATCCTGAATGTCTCCTCTCCCACTGTCTTGACCGCAGCTCCGTCAGCGAAGAGTCCGACGTCCTTCAGGAAGACGCGCTTTCCGGCTTTGAGCGATTCGACCATGGCGTTTGCGTCGTACTGCTCCACTCCTATGATCTTGACGTGCGGTGCTATCCGCTTGATGTATACACCAGTTCCGGCGATGAGTCCACCGCCACCCACACAGCAGAAGACGGCCTTGAGGTCCTGCAGGTTTGTCTGTCGCAGCAATTCCATGCCGACCGTACCCTGACCTGCAATGACATACGGGTCGTCGAATGGCGGGATAGACACAAGCCCATGCAGCTTCTCCAATCGCGCAGCCTCTGCCTTTGCAGCGTCGAAGTCAGCTCCATGTAGGATGACTGAGCCGCCTAGCCGTGAGACGTTCTTGTGCTTGATGTCGGGCGTTCCTGAGGGCATGACGATAGTTGCGGGAATCTTGAGCTTGCGCGCAGAGTAGGCCACACCCTGCGCGTGGTTTCCGGCACTACAAGCGACAACACCCCGCCACCTATCCTTGGGATCCAAATGTGCCATCTTGTTGTATGCGCCGCGCAGCTTGAAGCTGAAGACGGGCTGGAGATCCTCGCGCTTGAGCAGGACATTGCATTCTAGCCTGTTGCTGAGATTGGTTGCGTGGGTGAGGGGCGTTTCCTGTACGACTTCGTAGACGCGCGAGGTGAGGATGAGGCGGAGGTAGTCGGGGTAGCCGTTGGGCAGGAGGAAGGCGTCGGGTATGACATCGTTGGTTCGCGAAGACGTCGATTCCGAGGGCGGACTCGGGTTCGCGCTGTACTCGGTTAGGGCGAGGCCGTTCTTGGGTGTGCGGGGCGAGACAAGGCCATTGGGACCGTTGTCGGGCGTCGTCGGCCGTGAGTAGTCGGGGACCGTCGTCATGGTGGTGTTGTGCCAGAAGTGCAGCTTGTTGAGCGTGTCTTTGTATTTTTTGGGCGAGTCATCGGAGGCCCGGTCGGCCTGCATCGGAGGCAGGGGTGCGTCTAGCGTCATGGGGAGCTATGGTGGGGTAGATAGCCTCCAACCTCCCTACTTCATCTCATCTCGCGTCGGATGGCGAACCCTCCGACATGTCGCGCCCAACATCCCCTTTTGAACTGTTTCCTGTGCTTCCTACGCGTTTTTCTCGTGTCGTATGCTTCCGCCGTCGTCTGCATCTACTGGTTTCGTTTGTCGCCATGTTTGCTCTCGATACCTCCTGACGGTCTCCGCGTCATCCTCTTCTAGTATCTGGCGTCGAGAAGACACGCCACGGACTCCAGGCTCCACTGGCGCACACAATGGCTAGCATCTATACGCCCCCCGTATGCTTCACGGCCTCGCGCTGATGCTCCAATGCGCGCGCAGGGTGACGGCGTAGTCCCCGAGGGAGGCTGCAGTAGTCGGCTTGTTGGGGTGGTCCTGAACGACTAGGCTGTCCTCTTCCAGCTCCGTTCTGCATATACGGGTGCGTTGGCAACCTGTACGATGACTTGCAGGAGAAGAAACGGAGAACGTTGCGGACGAGCCTACGCGAGCGGCTGGGATTTCCCTCATTTCCGTCGTTCGAGCTTGCTGTCGATGCCATTGGAATGTAGGGCGAGGTGGTTTGCCTGTGGTGGTTGAATTGTAATCGGTGGTCACGGTGGCGGTCGATTGTTAGTGCGGAAAGGGCTGAAGCTTTGCCCGTGGCTCGATCTGAAGTTCACAGTGTCACGACCCACAGCAACTCGTTCTTGTTCAACTCAACTCAACCTTCCGGATTCTTCTCTACTGACAGAGCAGACTTAGCCAGGCTATCTAGAGCTGGAGGACCGCATCTATGTCCGCTCTGTCTGCATACCTCGAGTGGCAGGATAGGTCGGCCGCCTTCTGTACGCTCGAGCGGAGAAGGCTTCGCCAGCTACTAACGAGAACAGGATCTCCAGTACTCTTGTAGTGAGCTTGCTGTCGCGCCTCTTAATGCTCTCCAGGTACTCGAATCGTTGACGCGTTGTTCGCGGGCTTGACTTCGAAAATAAGGCGGACTTGACCTCATTGCCGACTATCCTCCGCTCGACCTCCCCCGCAATCTCAACACACTACTGGGCCGCAGGTTCGAGATAGCTCTTGTTGGTCTGCTTCAGCGTTCATGCAGTACGCGCTGCACTTCAATGGGAGCCTGGGCGTTGCCGTGATGTTTCAGCGGAGCGATCCAATTCCCCGATGCTCGGACCAAACACCCTGCTCTTGCAAATCGCCTCTCCATCTGCCTCTTCAACCACGCTCGAGAGTGTTCTCTTCGATTGCTTCAGTACTATAGAGCTGGCCATGAAGCGAACGACTCTCTAGGTATGCGCTCCCACACCCTATGAAGGGGCGGCCTTGCTGACCGGACACAATCTTCAGGCCGCATCGAAGGGTTCCTATACGATACCACTTGCCTTCTCTTTACCAGGCATCGACATTCGACCCTCTTTCGAAGGACCATTGTGATCGACGTCGCGCTTTCTACCCCGACCGCCATTGCACCGCAACTGCCACCAACAACAGGCACAGCATCGTCCGCCGTCTTACCCCCGCGGAGGAGGCAAGCAAAGAAGTAACAGCTGGGTTCCAAGCACCGGCGGCTTCAGCGGTCGTACTCGTCACCACGGGAGAACTCGAGCACTTGCGCCGCATCTACGGAACAAACAACACAAAATGTGGTCGCCCGGACGGACTGTTCACAGGTCACGAGCGTTCCAGTCGAGCAGCAAGGTGTTGCTGCCAGCACTTTTACCTCCAATGCCCCTCCGGTGCAAGTGCTGGAAGATGTCCGAGAGCCATTGCTTGGAAAGCTCCCTTGCATGGGTACCAGGATCGAACTTCAGACGGAAGGCTCGCACAGCCAGGTGGCCTCCGTCATCTAAGAACAGTTGGTTGTTGATCCATTTCTTGACGAAAGTCTGGTGGCAAGGAGCGTCGGTACCGAAGATCATCCTGCCTGTATTGCGGCTGGCTCCGAGGTGAATTACTTCTTCTTCGTAGTCGAAGCCAATTTCGAACCGTTGTGCTAATCTGTTCTTTGAGTTGGGTTCGCAGTGGACCTTGAAGTCTACCAGGTTGTATCGGTCCTCTCTTACAGACGTGGATATGGCCCACACGTTTTGAGACCTTGAATCTATCGGCATATGGTTGTCGTACCGAAACACGAAGGTGTTCTGGAAGAAGACGTCCTGGACCATCTCGCCCCATACGCGGCAGACCTTACGAAGACCGAGAATCTCAGGAATACTCGTGTGGGGCCTAGCATCCTTGTCCCAGACCCTGCCGGCACCCCTAATGTGGTTACGATCGATTGGAAGTACGAACCT